CGAAAAAATTCTGATATTAAAACTGAGAAAAATAATGATAATAAAGCATTATCTTTAATATAATAAATAAAATTTGCCAATAAAACTTTGACTGTAAGAAGACTGAATTTTGATTTATTTAAATAGGGGGTTAAGCCACCCTGATGATGATTTGTCACACTTCGTTAGAAGTCGGTTCTTTCAAATTGTTTCGTCGATTAGACCTTTGACGTCAGGACAGTTAGCAAAGAAACGAGGGAAGGTAATGAACGAGAAAGTGAAAGGAGAAAAGGATGGGCTGTGCCTTTACGAATCTGTGACGAAACTTCCCACGAAAGTGTGAAGGATTTATGGAGGACCGTAGAAAATTCAACTAAAATTCTCAGTAGTATAGTTTCTCTGTTTATCTAACGTATGTAGGATTTGGGTAATCGAGATTGACAGGGAAGGAGTCGAGACGATTGGATTTAGCGTAAACTTTAATTATACAAGAACAAATTACCGTAAACGAAGGAGAAACGAAAAGAAACACAACTGACGACCGCTAGGCAACGACAACCCATGGCACGCACGCCGCTTCCCTAGCCCCCGAAAAAACAAAAACAATCCGACAACTTTCCGACGTTCACCGGAGAAGCCCGAATAGATCGATCGTATTCGCCGACTTTCCGACGTTCACCGGAGAAGCCCGAATAGATCGATCGTATTCGCCGACTTTCCGACGTTCACCGGAGAAGCCCGAATAGATCGATCGTATTTGCCGACTTTCCGACGTTCACCGGAGAAGCCCGAATAGATCGATCGTATTCGCCGACTTTCCGACGTTCACCGGAGAAGCCCGAATAGATCGATCGGATTTGCCGACTGTCCTATCCCTCGTGTATTTTCGTATTATACAAGATCTCGTAACATTTCGTTAGAAGTTGATTCTTCCAAATTATTTCACTGGTTAAACATTTATGGCAGGCCCATAGACCTGTTGCTCTGTGAAATATCTGCTTTAAGAGAACCTCTTAATTAATCATCTTCTAAATAGTAAACAATAGGAGTGGGAAGGGTTAATCCTGACACAAAATTCAGCAAAATCTACACAAGTATTAATTATTAACCCTTTGCACTCCGTTGTCGCCGCCGTAACGACATTGTAAGATATATTTTTAAGAAAAATTGAACGCCTACAAAGTATCTTCCACAGAGGCGCACTCGCGCCATTGTAAATGGTCTCGGAGTAGCTGGTAGCCCATAGTAAAAATGATTCAGAGGGGAAAATGAATGCAAAGGGTTAATTATTTTTTTCCTATGTCAAAGATTCGTCAATTTTCAACGCACCACATAAGTTCTCCTGATTTTCATATAATCAATTAATTTTAATTCAGCTATGTCCGCCAGTAGCATTTCAGCCGTAAGTTCACGACAACATACACGGAAATTCCGCGTGCACTTTACAAATGGTCTGACAAGTCGTAAACTCATAAAGCAGCTGCTTCTGAAACACATTGCACGCAAAGTTGGCAAATTGCAGCCTAATGAAGTGCCTTCATGGCGCGTGGAATTGTACACGAAAATACCATTTTCCAAAATGCAAATCGCTAACTCTGTCGCATTTTCCAATTTACTTTGCCGTGAAAAATAATATTTTCAATACTGTTGTTTAAACGAAAGAAAATATTGTACAAAATACAATTAACAATAAAAGATTTAAAAATTTTGAAAACACAATTTTTTTTGTATTCACTTTATTCTGTTCTCGTCCATTGAATTGCAAATAATGAATAAAACACATTTCTCAACTTCACATTTTCTACCTTAATTGAAAAATTGTTTAAATTTTATGCAATGTGTGCATTAGCATAAATACACTAACTAAATCTATTCCTTGAAATTAATTTCTGCGATAGACTCTGGATTTCTAGAATTCGAAAAGGACTTGCAAAATTTAGGATAAATTACAAATATTGTACGTATAATACTTCGTGTTTAGCTGAACATCGTTCTTTAGAGAGAGTCTTTAGAAAGCTGTACCAATTACCAGGTTCACCACGAGGAGATGATTATACATGGGACCCGCAACTAATCCTTAATCCCAACCGTTTCTCAATTAGAATATTCTCAGCATTCAGGCTACTTCCAAGAAGATTCCATATTCCATCTCGAGTAAGAGAGATAAAATGTGATACGTTCATTTGTGTAATTTGTAACGAATCTTTATGTAGAATTGTTTGACACTATTCGCGAAATTTCGTTTAATAGACAATTTAGTCCTCCGTCAATTTAGTGGAAAATGTGACTGTTTCACGTGGATTTTAGAATATTTAATTTAACAGTGGTGGATAAACTAGCCATCATCTGCGATGTGAATATCTCAGAAAATAATAGTGCAGAAATGGAAATTATAATAATTTACATAATTCAAAAAGGACATCTTCTCAATTAAAAATGTAGTGTGAAAATATATACATGGTTGAGCACTTTAACAGCTCAATTTTTTCCACGGATATGAATCGTGAAAATTTCAGAAATAAAAAAAGCATACTTTTGAGAAAAATGCATTGAACGTTTGAGAAAAATTCTACGTCATTTTCGTGACAATTTTCGAACACAAAGTGAGTAAATTTCTAGCTTTAAGTATTTGAAACAGTTAGAAGAAGAATCATTCTCCAAGATGGCGTGAAAAAAGGAAATTTCAATGTTTAGATTTCTGTGCTTGCTCGTAAAATCCCCGTATTCACCGACTCGTTTCCAGCAATTCCTTAAATTTCCCCGCCCAAAGATTAAGAATCTTGGAAAATACGAGTGCAATGAAGATCATTTTGCTTCCATTATCTCTCCCACAACAGTTCTTCGTGTTAATAGCCTCTGCAAACGGTTTCCGTGTGCCGTGGCAATTAGAGCAGGCCTAGCATCGTTTCCCGACGAAGTTCAGACGCGACACCATCAACAAATTCTAATCTGTTTCCGCGAGTGTGTCGCTAACGCCTGAAACACTGGAAGAACCCGAGTGAGCGCTAAGAGCCTCTTCCAATTCGGGGTTGTTAAGGTTTCTTCTCACCCCTATTTTCAACCCTAAGCAGCAACACGGTGCTCCATGAATTCAATTCCCCGAAAAGAGAATTGAATCGAACAGAATGCACGTTGCTGCTGCTGCGTGCGTGGAAAGCATAGTGTTCGTTTTTATAGTAAATTCTATTTTGCAGAGTAATTTTATCAACTACTTCAATTGAGATTTTTTCTTGGTATTTAATAATCCTTTGGGGCCAGGTGTGAGAAAAATATTGAAAAGAAAAGTTTGAAATTTTTAATTTTGGGAGAGATTTAGTATAATCCTTGGGGGGCAAATGTAAGAAAAATATTAGAAAGACAACTTCGAAATTTGAAATTTTTATAGAGATTTAATAATCCTTTGGGGCCAAATCTAAGAAAACTGTTGAAAAGAAAACTTTGAGATTTGAAATTTTGATAGAAATTCAATAATCTTTTGAGGCCAAAAGTGAGAGAAATATTAAAAATAAAACTTTGAAATTTGAAATTTTGGTAGAGATTTTTTCGTGGTATTTAATAACCCTTTGTGGCCCAATGTAAGAAAAGTATTTAAAAAATGCTTAGAAATAACTGTCAATCGTACAATTTCCAAAAACGCCTCTTAACAACCACCCCTATGAAAAAGAAAAGAAACCGTTCTCACGATACCAAAACTATAACACCAAAAACAAATTACAACTTCCGCCCAAACTCCATCGAAGAGCACCGTCGAGCCAAAGCAGCCTATGTCCTCCACGAGAAGAAGCTGAAAAAGAAAAAAAAAAAAAGAAAGGACAGGAAGGAACTAAGAAGGAAAGGAAGCTTCAGAGACGTATTAAGGCCGATGCCAGGGCTAATTCAGCCTCATCCCCGTAACGCTTGTCGTCCCTCATAAGTCGGTATTCAGCCGGAAAGTTTTCGCCGGTGTCTCGAAGCGGAATTTCGCGCGAGAAACTTTCCTCTCTCTCACTCTCCCCACCGAAAAGGAAAGCTCCCGTGCCCAGCAGCGATGAAACAAAACTGACAGCGTTCCTCTGACGAAGTTACCCGGCCGACACCCCTAACAAATTCTAATCTAATCGGAGATGGGAGGAGTCGATGCGCGAAGAGAACGTTTCTCCTCCTCCTTCTCGTACCTTTCTCTCTTTCTCTCTCTAGATGGACCGATGGCCGGCTCTCCTCTCCTGCCGTGTAGACCCTTCGCGACGCGGAACTTTAATATTAGCACTCTGCAAGTCAAACTCTC